TAGTGCATAAATGACACATTCCTTTTAGTTCCAGTTAGCTGCAACCAAACATATTGCGTCTTATCAAATCTGTCATGTTTCTTGAAGGTTGTCTAAGAGTTCACAAGCATACACTCTTAAAAATAAAGGTGCTTCACGATGCCATAGAATAACCTTTTTGTCTAAATGGTTCCATAAAGAACCTTTAACATCTGAAGAAACTTTCTGTTTCACAAAAGGTTCTTTGTGGCGAATAAAGGTTCTTGAGATTATAAAAAGGTAATAAAGAGATGGTTCTTTAAAGAACCTATGACTGAATGGTTCTTTGTGGAACTAAAAATGGTTCTTCTATGGCATCGCTTGAAGAACCTTTTGAAGCACCTTTATTTTTAAGAGTGTATTTCAGAGAGAACATCTCAATTCAACTCAACAAACTCTCCCTTTGCTTTCACACCAATCTCTATGACTCTAATTATAAAAAGTGCTCACTCAGTGTAGCAGAGTCTTCTCACATTTTGTCTATCTCATGTTTCAGCCCTTTATCCTAAAGGTCACTGTATTCCATACGACAGCTTCATTAATGGAAAGAAAACCTAAATTCAACCCCAAGTTCTCAAAACAAAGGGGGAAAAGTTTTATTAATGATAACACTACATCCCCATTCACTTATGTGTCAAGACTACATCTAATTATGCATTTTGATGTAATGGATGAAACTTTTGTGACACAAATGTAGTAAAAATGCACCATTCTTTTATCCCTACAGCTCAGTTGAAGTTTTGGTCTTGAAACATGGCTTTGGTCTAGAATTCAGGACCTAAAGTCTTTGTCTAAATCTGGGCTTTTGTTTTATATTTAAGACGATTTCCAATGTTCTAAGGTAATAGAGAATCTAGGGAAAAATCAGTCATCATTTAGTCACTCTCTCCCACCAACCCTTAATTGCTGTATATTAACAGATTTAATTTCTTTTTTATTCTGAGAGTGTATAGACAATATAAACAAAAGCTCACATGGGCATATTTGATGCTAAAACATGTTTAGTTGAAGCACAACAACAAACCTCAATGATTCTCACATCAAGCAAGCATGTTAGAGCTTCTGTTTTCCATATTTGATAGGTTCTATGTATGCATGTTGATCACTGTTTATATGGAAGTAAAATCCTAAATTAAATCTGTTTATCATTTAAAGTGATTACATCTCTTCAGAAGACTTAAACTGACCTGATTCATATAGATTACAGTCTCTTGGTCACTATTGGTTATTGTCTGCAGTACTGATGAAATGATGATGCTGTTAATGACTCAGCACTAAATTTCTTTTCATCAGTGGAGAGTTTTTGAGGAAAGTCTGCAGCACTCCAGTAATGTCATCTTTTGTTCAGTGACTCCCCTGAGAATTTTCTTTATTCATGTTTAAGTTCTATGCTGATTCTAAAATAATGTTATAGGAATTAAAAGGAAAAAAGGGGGAAATGTTCCACTTCATTAACTGTTCTTCTTTTATCATCCAATTTTTCCTGATTATGTTCTGCAGGAATCCCATTTCTTTTCTATTACAATTTTTGGGGAAGTTCGGCTTATCTGTCAGCTCAATCCCATGAGAGTGAGAGACAGGCTCTAATGGACATGTGGATGTGCTCGAGGAGGAACTGCAGCCCTGGAGACCACAACATATTTCTTGACTCGAGGTCCTCCATCTTTACCTCTCCTCTCCTCTCCTCTCCTCTCCTCTCCATTATATTATACGTGGCACAAAACTGTGGGATGGGCTGGGATACACAAGTGGTTTAAAAAATGGATGGATATTATAGATCTAACTTAAAAGTGGGGGAAGACCCAATTTTACAGAAATGGAAGTCTGAATCTGTGCCTGTATTCGAAGTTTGGCTAAGAGACCTAAGCTATGTGTTACCCCTAGAAGAGCTGAGATATAAGATATCAGATAGACAAAAAATATTTTCAAGAATATGGAACCCAATAAAATCCTTAATTAACAATTTTTACTTATAACTTCTTATTGGCGTAGGGGTCAAGATTAGGGGTGCACTCTGAGAGTTTAAATAATTTTATATATTGTTTAATTTTTCAACAAAGAATTATAAGATATCCGACAATTAGGTTATTGTACTACTGGCTTTGCTTAGTTCTTGCTTATGTTTATGTTGGGGAACAAGCAGTATCCTGAGAGATAAGAGGTGTAATAGTCACTAAATTAGTTAGCTGATCACTTTGTATACCATATTCTCAAACGATGGCTGTTTAAACCCTGTTGTCTACACTTACAACTGCAGTATTTAACGTACAGGCTATTAATGTTCCGTTTGTTTAAAGCAAATAAAAAAATTAAAAAAAAGTGAGGGAAGACACTTTTGTCTTAATGTCAAAAGACATATGTCCTATCACACTCAATGGCTTTTTGGAATTACTTTGGTGTTTTAGCTTGTTCTTCAAAATAAATAAATAAATAAATGACATGACTGCATTAAATTATTAGCTAATGAAAAAAAAATTACTCTCAAGAGGCCAAATACTCAATTTATGAAGACAAGCTTCTTGAGTTTTCATGGTAATGTTGATAAATTACCATTAATAAAAGAACATGAATAAATATTGGTATTTTAAATATATTAATAAATTTCAATGTTGATTTTAAGAAAATATTTGCTTTTTCGTGTTGGGTCACCACTCAATTTCCAATGTAAAATCAATTTTCTGAAGCAAAACCTGTTGAGAATTTCATATCTAAAAAAGCCCTTGTGTACAATACACATAGCTTCATGCTGTCTTTTACCAACTTAAGTTCAACAAGACACATCCTCTCTAAATTCCTCCTTGACAGGACGGTGTGACTATCCAGAGCCCTCCACTTCCTGCTCAGGGGCACAGCTGTTACAAGAACCTCTATTTAACCAGAGATGAGCTCATATCCTGGTAATCATGGCAGAGGGGGAGCTGCTAAAAACAGTGTCCCAATCACCAACTGGATCAGTGCCACTGGAGTTCCACTCTAACACTGCCGTATCTGTCTAGCCAGCCTCATACATGCCACACATCCCTACAGATCTCTTCAATCTTCAGGGTTTAGATGTATCACATTTCTCAGACTTAGAGTACTATTCTGGGAACAGTTTGTGTTTGTCAAATGTAAATAATTATATGACCAGTGGATGAGGGTTCACGTTCAAAACACAGGCATGAGAGACTGATATTTTCAGATTTGTTCACCAGACAAAGCCGTCATTGTGTCAGTATTAAAATTACACACCACCGAACCTGAGAGATGGAAAGAGACAGACATTTTGAAGATGGATATAACGATAAAGGAAAGAAAGTTGAAGAGCTGTTCTGCACCACTCAGCTCTCTTCAGCTGTATTAATATTCCACACCAAGAGTCCACACTCAAGGTTATTCTCACTCTAAATTGCTGAAGATAAAAAAGCTCCTTCTTATTAGCATTTGTGGGTAAAACCTGGCTAATCTTATTCACACGTATCCCTCTCGCTGTGACATCCTGGCCTCTGTTTTCACTTTTTCTCCACAGAAAGGTCACAACCTCATTTTCATGGTATTTTCTTGCTTAAATCTGCTTACAATGCACAGTTTCTGAAAAATAAGCACAACATCAATGGACAGTTTCTGGAAAATAAGCACCACATCAATGGACAGTTTCTGGAAAATAAGCACTGCGTCATCGAATGGTGGCAATTTCTCTCTTTTATTTAAGCTGCAGTATGTAATTTTGTTTACTTTAAAATGATTTTATTTATTTTAAATGATTCATACTTGGTTTTAAAAAAAAGTAGATACTGTATAGCAAACTGTATGTTTAAGTGTCCCAACATGACACCACTGGCGCAACCAATGACAATGAGTTTGGCGCATGACTTCCTGTAGTTCTAACCAGTGACAGACAGGGGAGTGTTTGTTGTGTTATTGTAAAGGCTGGAATTCATGATTTTTGCACCAAATTACAGTCCGGAGAAGTCAACAATAGTTGCCAAAAGTCAAAGCCAGTCTGCAGATTTGAGTTGACAGATTTCATAGAAAATCGTGTAGTGTAAACAGACTGATTTTTTTAGCTTCATACTGGATTCCATCGAGTCAGAGAATATCAAACATTTTTGATATTTTGAGCCAATTTTAGAACACATATTGTTTTCATTTGTCATATGTCTCCTAGCTACAATGTGCACATTTCTGCGTGAGTTTGTTGTGATTGGAATAACTTTAAAGTCTGGTAGTGTGTGATCCTCTGTTGTTTATGTCCTGTATGATGGTCAGTTTTTCCTCTGTGACTATTACAAAGTCGGTAAGTGTATGATGTCCAGTATTTTTCAAATTTTAAAAGTCTTGTAGTGTATTCCAGCCTTAAGGATAGTGCGCATCATGTTTAAATACTTACATAAACACTGTTTGCAGAAGTGAAAACAGCATAATTTTGAGCAGCTATTTTGAATTTTTTGCTATTTTGCTATTTGTTTTTGCTATTTTGGGGCCTTCATACGTCACAAACTTTAAATAACCTCTCTAGTGGGTTGTTAACAGTTGAGATTAGATCATTAAAGGGATAGTGCTGTCAAATGATTAATCGCATCCAAAATAAACGTTTTTTTTTATACATAATATATGCATGAGTACTGTGTATATGTATTATGTATATAAATACACATACATGCATGTATATATTTAAGAAAAATATGTTATGTTTATATATTAAATATATTTATATATAATATAAATTATATTAATATACATATAAACATGTAAATACATGTAAATATTTACAAAATATATACTGAATGTGTCTGTATTTATATATACTTAATAAATATACACAGTAGTACACACACATATATTATGTAAACAAAAACTTTTAATTTGGATGCGATTAATCGTGATTAATCGTTTGACAGCACTAATATATACATATGGTGTTGGACCAGGTTTCATAGGGTCTGAGCATTTAGGATAGTTTGACATATGAGCTTCAGTTTAAGAGAGGAACTGACACTTACCCATGCTGGAGGTGATGTCACCATTCTCAGAATCTGTGCCGTGGTTATTATTGCCATGGTAACTATTCATCACCTCCAATTTGATCTTCTTCTTCATGGCTTCAGCAAGTGTGGCAGCTGTTAGGCCTATCAGAGTATTAAAGAGAGAGAGAAAGAAAACGTGATAATTCAAAATCATTACGTTTTCTTTGCCTTTTCCAAAAAAATTCTATCACTTCAGCTGCCTAAATCTCGTGAGAATATGTGAATATGAATAATTGTTAACAGATTCACCTCACAGCTTTTCCAAAAATGTGCCTCATTCAAATGCTTTTGTGAAAGCAATTATGAATATTTCACATCCCATAACTGAATTTGACAGAAGAGCACACTAGCACTGTAACATTAGATGATAACAACAGGTCTATTATTACCCAGGGTGTCATCCCAAAGCTACAGTCTGGCCCACGTCACTGTTCTGCAGTCAGTCCATTGACTAATACCTCCGTCTATCTACCATGAGACACCAGCTTTGAAGAGCAGGCCCTGGATCAGCTGAACGAGGTGACATCTGTAAGTTGAGACCTGCTCCCCCTGTCTTACGCTGATAACTCAGGCTGACTGGCACCTGCCCACAGTCTCTAATAACCCTTGTTAACTGCGTGTGTGTGTGTATGTGTGTGTACCCCAAGAGCACACATGTTATAATTCAATTAAAATTAGATTAACTTCCCTTCATTGCACAGAGAGCTGCTTCTAGCCACGCAACTCAGACTATTACATGCTACTCCTCTCTTTCCTCTTCCACTAGCTTTAAAAAGATCTCAGCAAGGCAAAATGAAGGTTGTTTGGTTAAAGTTGTTTTTAGACTGAGATCATTCTAATATAGCTCCCTGGGGAACAGTGAAAATGTTTTTGGGATGTAGCTTTTTTTCCATGTTATTTACTTTTTGAAGCATGAGAAACAAAAAAAGGAATTGAAAAAGTAATTTATATATTTATTAATCTAATAATTTAATCATTTACACAACTTGAAATGTTAAAATGTATTGTTATGTTGAAATTAACTAAGCTTAATAAATGCTGTAAAACAGTAAGAATGTTCAAATAAATATTACAGCACTCCATAATACATTTTTAACTACAATATATAATAGAAATGTTTACAAAAATGTTTTTGTTGGTTTTTTGTATCCACACTAGTGCACACATCAATTACCAGAGCCTGCATTGAATAGGCAGTTCATCTAAATTTGTGTTTTTCAGCACTTTGATTATGAATTCCACTCATCATACATGCACAAAACCCTACACATAACGTTTTCAACATAATTCATACTACTGTTTGATTTTTTTACACAATTTGTGAAAACATGAGTAGTGTTCCTAATCTTGAATATGCAGTTTTGGGCCAGTTTGTAATACAACAAATATTGTAATAACAAGAGTATTAACTTGTAAAAGTTTCAAAGGAATTTTGCACAAGCATTTTGTTAATTCTTTATTCACCTGTAGTGTGCAAAAGGTCAGGTGCAAACATATGTAATCAATGCAATATCCACGCTCCTCCACACTGCTTGTTTCATGTGCATGTTGTGTTTTGGGGGATTTATTAAATGACATTTAAGCATGTGCAATCCAAATTTTTAAGATCCTGTAACTGTTTGTGTACCAGAACAACTGTAACTTCCCATTCAGTGGTGTGACAACAACCAAAATGCTGCTCCTCCACTGCTATCTAAACATGCCGCTGTTGGTTGGTTAAAGTAAGTCAGATGAACAATCGCCTTATTTTGACTCATTTATTAAATAACATTGCATCAACGTTGGCTTGACTTATTTTTTCATACAGACAAACAGAATTATTCAGAATATGGCTGTTCATCCCGAACACTGACTTTGCGAAAGTATCCATCCAGTTCCGATGTGTTTAAGATCTTTCCTTTTAAAGTCTGTGCTCTAGTCCGGGCAAACTGCTCTCAAATGTAGTTCTAGAGCTTTCGTACGCTGGCATTTGGCTGCAATTCACAACAGTTATGTGCAAATATGAGGCAAGCTCTGGCAGTGAGCTTTAGGAGCGGGGTGTTTTTTTCTCACTCTCTCAGTTACTCTCCAAATGCTTTCACTAAATGTCAAGATCAGAGCATGAAAGCCAAGGTCCCTATTCAGCCTGTGAAGAGGACGATATCAAAGCATTCCCCACTCTCAGTCTGCAATCCACTCAAAGAGGGAAAAAACTGTCCTCTCTCTCTTTCTCTCTATCTCCCTAGTGGCCTTTGAGTTCCCATCTCTGTGGCTGACATTGATAGTGTGACCTCTGCCGAAGATAAAAGAGGCCTGTGCTACTGAGCATTTTCTTTCTCCCTCTCACTCGTTCTCTCTTCATCACCTGCTCTTTCTAAACAAGTACAAATATGCGGCCCTTTTCGGGCTCTCATTGAGAAGTCATAACGAGCAGACCGCACACATACATACACAAAGAGAAGGGCAGCTTAGAAGTCGGTGCAGGATGGACAGAAGTTGTTGATGCTTTAAACGACGCTCTTTCGAGCAAGAGGAGAGCTGACACCACGGAGGCCGAGGTGAACATATCTCCAGGCAAAATCTAATAGGTTTTAATCATAATATCACAACACAATAAAGGGCAAATTAGAGTTGGCAAGATGAGGTTACATACTACCTCGGGCAAACCTGCATTGTGAGTGTGGAAACAATAGCTGTGTTTTGTTGGCTTTGGGCTTTTCCACAGCACAGCATGAGTCAGATTGTTTATTTGCGTCACTTCAGATAAGTGCTGTTTAAAGTGACTGACACAGAAATATAACAGGCTTCAACTGGTCTGTAAAAATAAGCACTATTTCAAGCAACTGAATTAAAAAGATAAAGAAAACTGACCTGAAGTTAGATTTATATTAAAACATTCTTATCCCTGCTTAACACGCAGAGAAAACTGTAAGGAAGCCATTCGTAGGCTGATCCCCCCCCCCCCCCCCCCCCCCCCCCCCCCATAGCAACAATGGCTCAGCCAATAGTGTGTGTGGGTGGAGCTATCAGTTTAACCAACCAATTGCAATGGTTGGGAAACCTATTTGAAAACAGTCATTTTTTTCTCATTATTATTATTTCAGTTTCATTTTGTGATGCTAGTGAGGCAGAAATCACACATGAATCTCACATGAATCTTACATAAATCACCATATTTCTTGTTTCAGCCTAAAGATGCCTGTAACTCTATGTCCTAACCAGACACCACTCAATGCCACAATAAGCAATACAGCCACAATGGTGATACAGATTTACTTACTTTTATTTAAAATTTTCCTTTTTTTACGGCAATAAGCCGTAATAAAAGCGACAATGGATAATTTACCTCAGATATTAAAAATTACTTAAAGGAAACAATTCAGTTCAAATGATATGTGAACAAACGAGTGTATTCCATGACAAATATTCTATCTGTCAATGAATATGTATTTGGAATATTGGTAAAATTGTTTATTTTGATTTGATTATGTATCCATTTTGTTGTAAGTGTGATGCTGCATCACAATTCGCATACTACCCGTCCTAAATAGTATTCAAAATTATAATTAGTATGTCCCAAATCGTAGTATGTTGAAATGAGTATTCCAAAGGTACAGATCGATGCAAAGTGCAGATCGATGCACACTCTAATGGCTAATATTACCCACAACAAATTGCGCAGTGGACGAGGATTCGATTAGAACTACAAACACGAATACAAAAGTGTTAAAAAAAAACTAAATGATATGTGAACAAACGAGTGTATTCCATGACAAATATTCTATCTGTCAATGAATATGTATTTGGAATATTGGTAAAATTGTTTATTTTGATTTGATTATGTATCCATTTTGTTGTAAGTGTGATGCTGCATCACAATTCGCATACTACCCGTCCTAAATAGTATTCAAAATTATAATTAGTATGTCCCAAATCGTAGTATGTTGAAATGAGTATTCCAAAGGTACAGATCGATGCAAAGTGCAGATCGATGCACACTCTAATGGCTAATATTACCCACAACAAATTGTGCAGTGGACGAGGATTCGATTAGAACTACAAACACGAATACAAAAGTGTTAAAAAAAACTACAAACATGGCAGATATGCAACACCAAGGGACAGGTAGAGAAAGGGGTTTGAGTGATAAATAATCAATAGCTAACCTGTTGAAAAAATATTTATTTAATCCAATACGGTAGGAAATTAAATCAAACAAAATATGAATAAAATATAAACTTTGACAAGACGATTGTCAGGGCAGTTTAAATGGTGACAGGATGCACGTAAATAAGCAACAAAGCGTCCATTAAAGACGCAGTTATGACGAAGTAGTATGTCCCAAAGCTTGCTTACTATTTTGTTACATACTCAAAAGTATGTACTTTTTCTTCACAAAATGAGTACATACTTTTAGGACAGATAGTATAAGTAGGCGAATTGGGACACAGCATAGGACAGCAGTGTACTTGCACAGAGACTCCGCCCACATGCTCTTCTGATTGGCTGTGATTTGTGATTGATTTTATTGTGTTTGGTGTGGACAGACAAATATCTTGCTACTGGAATTATATCGTATCACATCTGGTTAGGACACAGTGTAATTCTTTATTTAAACCATTAACTGACTACTTCCTTTTCCTGTTCTCCTTTTACTTTTAATAATAAATCCAAAATTCTGCTTTTCTCATTTGAGAAGGAATGAGATTTGTTTGTTCTGGCAGTAACAGTGATGTAGGAGCATTTCCTCATTTTCTTACCAGTGTGAGACATCATTCCTGAGGACATGAGTCCAGAGACGGAGTGGGGCAGGACGTGAGGGCTCTCGGGTGATGTCATGCTCTGGGTTCGTTTAGGAGGTCTGCCAGGTCTGGAGCTGAAAGATGGACACCAAATGTCAGACAAATTTTCTATCTGGTTACATGTAACAACCTATCTAGAAGCCAGTGCACTTCTTGCACATTGGAAGTTGCAGTGTAGACATTTTTGTTAATTATAATGGGAATGTTTCATTTTTGCTGCATCATGTCATTCACCTGAAGTGTAGACAAGGTACAGAATGATTAGAAACTACCAAGTAGGCCTGAGGCTAGTTGTCAAACGAGAAAGTTGTCAAAAGTGCTATATCTCAGTAACTATATGTTCTCAAATGCCCTATTACACAAATGTGTGTTTAGCAGTGGTTCGCTATGCTGGTTTCAAACACCCATTTTAAAATGTTCTTAAATTCAACTACTACTAATAATAATTTAGTAAATTCTGTTTTCTAAACTAAAATTCCAGTCTCATCTGGTTTTTCACCATATTTAACTTTGGTAAACAATGGATAAATAAAAATAAAACCACACTGGTAAACACTAAATGTTTATTAATTGTAAATAAAACAAATAATATTGGAGTACATTTTTCAAAAAATAACAATAATAATAATAATATTAAAATAAAATAATAGAGTATTTATTCTTTAAAATTTCATATTTTAATCAATGTCTTACTTGCTGTTTCTTTGTATTTTTTGTGAAATGTACTAGCAATTTCTGAGTGAAAATTATTTCTACACCATTTTTTTTTTCAGTGTACACTGAGAAAAATGGCATAGATCAATATTTTCATACCATAAATTTTATTCAGTTCAGTTCAGTTTAGTTTAGTTCAGTTCTTGGTCCTTGAATTGTTTTCCATTTTTTGTTGTATTGACTCTGAAAAGCCTATATTATGCTGTTCGACTCCCAGTGGGGCATGCTGTCAGGAACATTAACTTATGTTCAATGAACTATATTTTTACTCCCAAACAATAATAGTGGAACAGCTTTTTTTTAGTCAAGACCTGTAGCCAAGGTTATACACAAACTGACCTTCTCTAAAAAAAAATGTTCACTGCAGTAAAAAATGTGACAACTAGTCCCAGTCTCCCATATTTTTTTAAATCAAGGCATGGCCAGCACAGACATACACACACATTTCTGTTCAGAGTTGGACTAATCTACTATGCATACTAGCATGCGTCAGTAAATACTCTCAAGGACAGTCTTTTCTGCCATCTCCTGTACCCCCTCCCTTCTCTTTTTCTTTCTCTCTAATTAGATCACACAGTAGACTCATCTCCCTTTTCCATAATCAGCCGATTTTTTGCTCATGTATAATGCATGCTGTGCACCTTGTTACCTGCTCCTGCGCATTCATGTGCAATTTAAATTAGTTGAGTTTACATGCGCTAAAATCAGCCACGGCTCTCAGAAGAACCCACAAATAACATCTGCATTAACTCGAGTCTTTATCAACCAAGTTCACCTAATTGAGTCTGAATGCGAGGGGAAATAGGTTATGTTCACCTGTTTGACTCAACATGATGCACCTCTGATTGTTTTGACTCTTGTGTATCTTTATCTGCAACTGAATAGGTGTCAGGTTTTAAGAAAACCTTTAATGGAAAGCATTTACTTTAAAAAAAAAATGTCTTTATCATTTTGCTGAGCATTCCAGAAAAAAGTCCTCTATTTCATGCAGATCCTCTGCTCACACCTCCCCCATTGCTCGTGAGCGCCAATCATCCTTCATAAAATATTAAACTCCCTGCCGTTTGCCCTTTTAAAATCTCCCTCTCTCAATTCCCTAATTGTAGTGTTTCTTTATCTGTCCACTGCAGAGAGTAAATAAATGAACAAAATAGCTATTTTATCACAGCGCCTGACCTTTGAAACGGGAGAGGATTATCACAGGTTTATTTCTCACCCTGTTCCTGTTCTCACCCTGTTATCATAACTTAAATTCTTGAAAATGAAAACCTTTGGAAAAAGTAGTTTGGCATAAACAAATATTTTAATAAAACAGCTTTGTAAAATTATATATATATATGTATATATATATATATATATTTTTTTTTTTTTATTGAAAATAAATGCCTTTCCGATGTGATATGGCATTTGAAAAGAGAGAAATACGGCTATATTCCTGGTAAAACGCGCCACCTGCTGGCAGATAATGAATTTGCATTTTTCAATAAGCCCTTCTGCTCTTTTAGACCAAAGCCAAAAACGACCCTTATTTTTACGCAGAAAACACGCAGTTGTTGAACTGGTGGATCGACAAGAAGATAATGATAATAATTATAAAGCTTATTTAATTAAAAAAATATATATTATACACTAATGTATATTTATGTTACTAAATGAATATAATTGTTTGATAATAATTGTTCAAATTAACATAAAAATAATATAAAATAATATAATATAAAAATTATTACTTTTGACTCCGCCCCCCATACCCCCACCCAGGCCATTTGAAGTTTTATTTTGACGTAACACATAGCAGAGATATATCTAAGCGGGTGAGTTGTTTACTTAATATTTAGTCAATAACGCCATCATTTTCTTCATTCAACCAAGAGCTCGCACGTAAACAAGAGGCGGGATTTATCGCATGAACCTATCACATGCAATCACAACCGATCATATCCAATCATATCGCGATGGAGGCATTGCCTCCTCTCACGTGATTGTCCCCAATTTATTCTCAATTACCCCCAAACCCACGGCACGCTAAGGGGTCTCTGCTGAAAGTCTATGGACTGTAACTTTAGCTGCGGGTGTCGCTGTTGGACAGTGTTACTTTATAAAAACGAGTGACTTTTATACTTTTAATACCATATTTATTAGTAATATTTGCGTTGTTAAATTTTTGTAATATCGATTATTTTCTCATCCAATTTTTTGAGGAGACACTGCCTCTTTGGAGAAAACGCCCCTGTATTATAAATATAATGTATGTGTGTATGTATGTATATGTGTATATATAGCTATATATATATATATATATATATATATATATATATAGAGAAAAGTGTTTATTACGTTTGAAATATGGATATTTTTTAGAGATGCACCGATCGATCGGCCAAGGATCGGAATCGGCCGATTTTCCTCATGATCGGCCCGGATCGGTGATCGGCCGGTCAGTCTCACTTCTTTCTGATTTCGGGCCGATCCGTTTTGTTACCAGCGGCACAGGCAATAACGTAAGCCGCGCATTCTCGCTCTCTTCTCTCCGACGACCCCTTCTCTCTCACACACACACACACACACACACACGTCTCATCTGTGTTTCCAGATATGAGATCCAGGTGGATTTCATTCTGTGGTCTTTCCATCTCAGCTTTACCAACAACCAGTTGAAACCCATGAGGTTTTGTGTTTTATATCCACACAAACATGATCATCTTCTGTCCGGTACTGCTGCTCTGATTCAGTTCACAATAACAGCAAACTCTGAGAGATGTGCTAGAACTCTAGTGCTAATGACGCAGCTCTGGTGAAGGACTGTCTTCTCTCTTCCTACAGCCATGCTGAACGCCTAACAGGCTGACATTTTTAATAATTCCTAATGGGGCGATATTTTAATTAAATTGAT